AATCCCCCCCCCCCCCCCCCCCCAGGCGTCTTTCCTCTCCGACCAGCCGGAGCCGTACCTCCCGTTCCTCTCGCGGTTCCTGGAGACGCAGATGTTCGCCTCTTTCATCGACAACAAGATCATGTGTCACGACGAGGACGACAAGGATCCCGTCCTGCGAGTCTTCGACTGCCGAGTGGACAAGATACGGCAGCTGAACGTCAGGACGCCGACGCTGCGCACTTCCATGTACCAGAAATGCACCACCATCGAAGAAGCCGGTAAGACCCCCGACCGGGGGAATCCTGATCTCTTCCTTCCGTCATGAAATCTATGTTTTCACCTGCGGTGTATCTTATGGTGAATGTAAAGAATACACGGAATGAAGTTTTATAGCTGAACTCCGGGGTGACCCCATATTCGTGAAGCTTTAAAATGCTTTCACCCACTAAACTGTCAAATTGCTACATTGTGTTCCCAACGTGTTTGTCACTCTGCTCTCTCCTTCTATGCATGGTGGTTAGAGAGGGGAGCTCTCCCATATTCCAATACTGACAGGTCCCCTTTAACTTTTGTCCCCGCCGCAGTGAAAGCCATAGAGCAGCGACTCTCCAAGATCGACCACACCGCCATCCACCCCCATCTCCTGGACATGAAGATCGGGCAGGGGAAGTACGAGCTTCAAAGCGGAACGCCCCGGCGCAGTGGCGGAAGAAGGACAGACAGAAGCAGCACACCGAGCACCTCCTACTGGACAACGATCAGAGGGAGGTGAGTGCTGGAGCAGAGCATGCTGGGACTTGTAGTTCCCCCACCGCTGTAAGTCCTCGCCTTTTACGTGTACATATCTTCACAATGTTTTGTATCGGAATCATAAACGGGACAAATTCTAGAAAATAAAATACTTTGTAACCTTCAGTAACGATGTTTCTGTTACTCTGACACTAAACAAAGTAGATTCTGTAGTTTTGTCCTTCGTCTATGGATCGGATACAATTGGAGATCGTAGAGAAGAACACAGAAGGAAAGACTTGATTGTGCTGAGACATAAAATTGATCCCTCGGGGCTCATGGAGGGAAGTTGTCCGGCTCCATAGGCGGCGTGCGGAGCATTACAAATCCTTCTTCTCTTTCCAGAAATACATCCAGGAGGCCCGGAATCTGGGGAGCACCATCCGCCAGCCGAAGCTCTCCAACCTCTCCCCCTCCGTCATCGCCCAGACCAACTGGAAGTTTGTGGAGGGTCTGCTGAAGGAGTGTCGCAATAAGGTGCGTCCGTCATCGTGTGTGCGCGCTGCGTTCTGCTCCGGTGCGTCCGTCATCATCAAGTGTGGGCGCTGCGTTGTACTCTGCTGCGTGCGTCGGGTCTTGTTGCTGTATTTGCGGCTGTAACATTGTTACACTTTTCGTCATTTGATTGCACAGATCCGGAAATGCCGACGCATCAGCCAAATACACCGCAGGGCCGGAGTGCAGCTCCGCAATTCTTTATCATTAGACAGAAGCCGCAGCGGTGTAACGTTTTCACTGGGCGGATCAGCATTTGATGGGATTAACTGCACGCTCCAGGGATCCATCGAGGGACACCGGTCCCACCCCAATGTGTCTTTGCTCTTGTCTCAAACCACCTGTAGTAGGCTGAGTCCGAAGTGGATCTTAGGCTGAGGATTAGTGATGGGCTCGGGCGTTTGTTCGCGGTCTGCAGCTGCAGATATCGGGAAATGTCTCAGTGCCTGTGATTGGCCCTGCGAGCTGACAGCATCCTGGCGGGCTCGGCACGAGGCGCTTGCGAACACGCCCGAGCCCATCACTACTGAGGATAAGGTGAAGACGTGGTCAGGCAGGCAGGGTCGGCAACAGTCTGGCAGCGAGGTACAAAGTCGGGATCCAGGAGAGTAGTCCGGAGGCGTGCTGAGGTCTTGACACGGTCGGGCAGCAATGTACAAAATCGGCAGGCAGGAGAATAGTCAGGAAACAGGCAAGAGTCACGGTGTAAATCCAGCATAGAACACAGAGGCAGCTCACACAGGAAACTAACCCAAATCAACAGGCTCAGAGCACAGGAAGTGTCCGGTATTTAAAGCCTGAGGTACATCTTCTACAGCCGGTGGGCAGGTGGAGCCAAAGTGTCCATAAGGATAGGTGCTCGGTACACACAACCTGCAGCAGAAACCAAGTCCTTCCAGTGGCTGGATGGCTAGGTCTGTGCACTTCCGCGCCAGAGACCCGGGTTCAAACCCCGAACAGGGGCTGATCAGACAGGTACATGACATTGTCCTTGGAGGTGCTTCTCCAGAATACCGAGACATTCTGTGTAGAGGTGGGGTTGGATGGGACTGGCTTTCAATTTGTTTGGTTTGCCGTTCAAGCCTCCTGTAGGTGGCAGTATAACCCAACTGTATTTGAATTCCTGTGTCCCTCAATGGACTCCAAGAAAAAGATTTGACAGTGGGTCCTAATATTCATTTGGGCAGACAAGATATAAAGATGATCTTCTACCAAATAATTACTTGAAATGATGCAGATTTGAAGTAGCGATGGCTTTCCATATGGTAACTCTGACCATGTTGAGTTTTATCTGTGACGTTTCTCTTCCCCGTCTCGCAGACGAAGCGGATGTTGGTGGAGAAGATGGGTCGGGAGGCGGTGGAGTTGGGTCACGGCGAGGTCAGCATCACCGGGGTGGAGGAGAACACGCTGATCGCCAGCCTGTGCGACCTCCTGGAGCGGATCTGGAGCCATGGCCTTCTGGTGAAACAGGTAGTCACATGACCCCCTCTCTGAACCATACGCGTCTTGTTGCTTGACGGAGACTTCATCCGTGTCCCGTGTTTTGTGTCTCAGGGGAAATCCGCCTTGTGGTCACACCTCTGGCACTATCAGGACAAGCGGAGGAAGATGGCGGCCGGGAGCTTCAGTCATTCAGGTTTGTCGCAACGTTTGCATAGCCATTTACTAAAATTACAGCTGGGTCACATGATCTTTTAAAGTGAACCCGTCCCCAGCCAATGGGTCAAGCGGCTTTGATATTTTGATACTTTAGATACAAATACGCTTATTGAAGTTGTTATATAACTTGTTATTGGAATCTATTATCCCGTTTCATCTCCGATCCATTTAATCGGTATCGTGTGTTGAGATTGGCGCTGTTCTTTTTTTTCCTCGCAGTACTGTTTTTGGATTCTGAGAGGAGGAAATCTGATCCCAGCCCTGTGATGGCTCCTCTGAAGATCTCTCTGGTCCAGGACATGCTGTAAGTGTTATGGTCAGAAGGTGGGGGAGGGGCTCCGATAGTTCTGGGGTGCAGTGTGCAATGGATTTTGGTTCTTCCCAGCCAGTCACCCCTGGAATTGATTCACATCATCGGCCATGTTTGTCCTACAAAGATTGACCTAGTACAGCATACTCCATATGGGGCGGCCAAAGAACTCCGGTCCTGTCCATGTATCTGTTCGTGTACAAAGCAATATTGACCCAATGGGGTCACAAACAAAAACATAAACCTGACAAATTATAAAGTGTTCCCACCAGGTGAAGAATTTTCTCCCCATCATGTGATGGGTGAGTAAGTCACATGACCCCCATATCAAGAAGTACCTGGTATCTTTCCTCGCTGCCAGTAGCCAAATGGAGACGAGTGTGCAACTGGTGGGCCAACCATTAAAGTACATTTGTATGTAGTCCTTCACACACGCTTCGCTTGTCACTAGGTGATTCAAAATGCTCCGGGGTCACTGGGTGGCGTAGGATTCTCCGGGGTCACTGGGTGATGCAGCATACTGTGGGGTCACTGGGTGATGCAGCATACTGTGGGGTCACTGGGTGACACGGGATGCTGTGGGGTCACTGGGTGAGGCAGGGTGCTCCGGGGTCACACAGGGCGATGCAGCGTGCTCCGGGGTCACTGGGTGCTCCGGGGTCACTGGCTGAGGCAGGGTGCTCCGGGGTCACTGGCTGAGGCAGGGTGCTCCGGGGTCACTGGCTGATGCAGCGTGCTCCGGGGTCACTGGGTGAGGCAGAGTGCAGTGAAGTCACTGGGCGATGCAGCATGCTCCGGGGTCACTGGCTGATGCAGCGTGCTCCGGGGTCACTGGGTGAGGCAGGGTGGAGTGAAGTCACTGGGCGATGCAGCATGCTCCGGGGTCACTGGCTGATGCAGCGTGCTCCGGGGTCACTGGGTGAGGCAGGGTGGAGTGAAGTCACTGGGCGATGCAGCATGCTCCGGGGTCACTGGCTGATGCAGCGTGCTCCGGGGTCACTGGGTGAGGCAGGGTGGAGTGAAGTCACTGGGCGATGCAGCATGCTCCGGGGTCACTGGCTGATGCAGCGTGCTCCGGGGTCACTGGGTGAGGCAGGGTGGAGTGAAGTCACTGGGCGATGCAGCATGCTCCGGGGTCACTGGCTGATGCAGCGTGCTCCGGGGTCACTGGGTGAGGCAGGGTGGAGTGAAGTCACTGGGCGATGCAGCATGCTCCGGGGTCACTGGCTGATGCAGCGTGCTCCGGGGTCACTGGGTGAGGCAGGGTGCAGTGACGTAGGATTCTCTAGGGTCACTGGGTGATGCAGGTTGCTCTGGAGACACAGGGAGTAAGATGAGTGCACAAGGGGTCACAGAGTCTTTGGAGTACACTGCTGTGCAGGGATCTCTGGAGGGACAGGGGCCACAGTCACTGGACGCAGGGGAATACAGGAGGCATGGGCAGACACTAGAGGCACAGGGGCTTAGCAGTGCATTGCTCAAAAGCCCTGTAAGGCTGCGTCTGCAATCTGGTTGGTCGCGGCATTGTCACTGAAGGAGAAACCAGAAAGTGATGACAGTCGTCTGTCGGGGGGGAGAGACCGGGCGATAGATCCTAGGAACAGCGAGTATGACGATCTGCAGCACAGTGTACAGAGAGCCCTATACACAATATTTTACATTTACTGTTTATTTCTATGAATGTAGCCGGTAATTTAACATTTCTTGAGGTTTTTACCATTTTTAAGGAGCGTCAGAGAAACTCCGCAAGTCCTCGTACTTGTATTTCAGTCAAATTGTCTTTTTGTGTTCCCAGACACATCCAGAACATCGGAGAGATAAAGACTGATGTGGGGAAAGCCCGAGCCTGGGTGCGTCTCTCCATGGAGAAGAAACTTCTCTCCAGACACCTGAAGCAGCTTCTACTGGACTACGAGCTCACCAAGTGAGTGCCCCACTTCCCTCGTCCTTACTGAATGCGGATCGGCCCGATGACGGGGCCTCAAAAACATGTTCTGAGCGGAGCTATAGATGGCCCTTAAAGGGAACCTGTCATATTGTTTAATTAGAATGACACTGCCAATAGCTAGGAGAGATTTCCCTTCCAAATAATGACTTCAGAACCTACTTTATATGCTGATTGAATAGAATAGGACAGTGCTACGGAAAGTCCCGTGCTGATCAATGTATGAAACTCCCGAACTAAACTCGGTATAAAAAACCCTACAACAAAAATAGAGGCATATTGACTGTGTAATAAATGGAGACTACGGTGGTTACATCTAAGACACATTTTACGTTTTATTTGGAAGTTTGTACATTGTTTATAGCTGTTTTCTATCTATCTATCCTATCTATCCTATCTCGTATCTATCTATCTATCTCGTATCTATCTATCTATCTCGTATCTATCTATCTATCTCGTATCTATCTATCTATCTCGTATCTATCTATCTATCTCTCTCGTATCTATCTATCTATCTCGTATCTATCTATCTATCTCGTATCTATCTATCTCGTATCTATCTATCTCGTATCTCTCTATCTATCTATCTTTGTATCTCAATGTTTAAGAATATAATATATGACAATCCCCAAAGCACTATGGGTTATCTATAGGACAGCACAGCAGTGTCTGCCTGCCTGATGGCTCCCTTAAACTAACTGAAACCTCACACTGAGCCATATAATAGTAAATAAATGACATATTGTAAAGTGTTATTCACTTCTTTGTTAAAGCCGACAGTCGGCTCTACAAGTTTAAACAGAGTCCCGGCGGCAAAAGTCGCCGGGAGTCTGTTTAAACAGCCCCGATGCTGGCGACGTACACTGTACGTAGTCAGTCACGAAGGGGTTAAATTGCAACTTGAGCTATGGAGCCTGTTAACAAAAGGCATTTGTCAACTAGCTGTAAATCAATAGTAAGGGAAACAGATGTGAAAGGGAGCCAAAAGCTCCACATTCTGTCTCAAAAAGAAAATGCAGGATATTAACATGCAATATTTCAGACTTGCCGAAAATACATATATATATAATGTAGGAATTGTTGAGTGTGTTACAAAACAAATAGAAATCGCAGCAGCATTGTGATGGGGAGGGTGACGGATGATGATGATGGTCCGCCCTTGAAATGCGTCAGTGAGGATGCACGCTGCTGTTCAGTTGTGTTGTCAGCAGGACGGGGAGCAGAGAAAGTCCCATTTACAGATCATTATCTGGACATTTTATATAATGAGCCGATATAACCCGGTGTGTGTTTTCAGTACGAGTCTTCGCTATTTAACAAATGTTTTAGAATATACATCGCAATGCCGGAGATTTCTATTTCTATGTGTTTTGTAGTTCAGAAAAGATTCCAAGTCTGGAAAAAGCTACAAAGCCGTCATCACTGTTGCTTTTAACGATCACTAAAGGGGCTGATATATAAACATTTCGCCCAGTGTATAGCAGGGTTGCCATCCATGTTGCATTCCCAGCACTAGATGAGGCCGAGGAGCATTGGCCCCTATGTAAATATTTCCCCTAAGGATCGGGTATAAAGTTTCCCCGGAGAGATCTGACACTTTGTATCTCTGTATTTGTATCGTTCAGTTTGATAGGTTAAAGTGACATTAAACCCTCAGATTTTTTTACATAAAACAATACTGTAATGTGCGCCTTACTGTAATCCATGGTAGTTTCCCTTCTCTTTGCTGCTCTTCCTTTTAAATCCGTCTCTCTTCTCATGCTGGGGGAGAACTTCCCTTTGCAGCAGACTGCCTTGTCTCAGGAATGGATACATGGTGTCTGTGTGAAGGTTCACAACCTGAGCCAGCACTACAGGAAGAGGCACTCAGCTGCAAAGGGAAGTTCTCCCCCAGCATGAGAAGACATGAGGATTTAAAAGGAAGAAACTACCATGGATTACAGTAAGGCGCACATTACAGTATTGGTTTATGTTAAAAAATCTGAGGGTTTAATGTCACTTTAACACACCCAGTTACCATATTGTAAAGTCTCTCAATGTTCGGAATTTTGTAAATACATTTCCAGCCATAAAAGCTTTTCGTAGAGCAGGGTTCTCAATGTACCGCCCCAGGGTCCAACTCCGGCCCACGAGCCGGTACTATGTGGCCCGCAGCCAGCTGACAAGTCGGGCACACTGTCACGGACCGCGTGCCCGACTTGCGGGAGCAGCTACACGGTCTGCATCTCTGTCAGCTGCAGACCTCAGAGCTGCTCCTGTCAGCTCTGTCACTTCTGAGCTCCGGCCGAATCATGGATGATTAGTAAGGTCTGCACTAGACCTTACTAATCGCCACTAAATCACCAGGGACTAAGACTTAGAGGCACATTTGCTGCTGTAGTTGGTAAAACCAGAAATAATGTACAAATAGTTCCAGGAACTTAGCAGATCTCTATGAAGTATTGAGCGCAGCTTGTGTGAACGGACCACCTTGAGCAAGTTGTTAGACTCGGGATCATAATCCACAATATTCCCGATACTGAGCCCCGCACCACCATTCTGCGATATTTGTGTCTTCTTGGCGTTTATTGTAAAAACGTGAATCTTTTCTCTTCCAGAAAACTCTACAAGCGTTACGCCTTCCTGCGCTGCGACGACGAGAAGGAGCAGTTCCTCTACCACCTTCTGTCCTTCAACGCCGTGGACTATTTCTGCTTCACAAACGTTTTCACCACCATTAGTGAGTACATTGGGGCGGCCAATATAATGTGAACCGTTCCCTTCCCCAAGCACGGGGCCATCATTCCGCCCACAATCTACTGCATCAAATGTCTCTCATCCCCAAAGTCCAGTAAGCTGCTCTGTTTTTGATATACAATTGTTGACTTATTGGTAAAAGTCAACAGCTTAACCCTCATCTCCATTTTTAACTCCTCCCCCTTCCACTGTTGTGTGCAGAGAGCATGCACAATCTATAAAACAAGGGCAACTAACAGAGTGCAACCTCTATGACCCATCCCCCTCCCCTGACGTGCATGCTTATAACTCAGTCATGCATATTCTGCAAATTGAGGTCTGAATTTGATATCGTAGTTGGTGTGTCTATCAAAGCATGAAGTATAGGGGGGGGGGCCACATCTGCAGCACCTGAAAGCACCCAGGAAGACAGAAGACTGTCAGAAACCACTGGCATATTAGAAGAGATGGTCAGAGACTGCAGGCATGTGGTCCTGCTGAATAGGACAGCGAGAGACTACTAGAGATCGCAGCCATTACTGATCCTTTGTAAATCATTGCTCCCGCTCATGGCCGTCTCTATAATGAGGCTGTTGCCTTAGGCGGCATCTCTATGGGGCACGTGGAGGAAGGGGGCGGCAGGCAGGGAGGCATGGCTGCTCTGCTGCACAATATTTGCTGTGTTCCTGCTGCCCCCTTTCCAGCCAGAGCGTCCCAGGCTGCTAAGATCCAGGTGGGTAGATGTGTAAGGGTCATACACATCTCCCTGCCCAGCTTTTGACAACCCGGGATGTTCTGGCCAGCATCCTGCTCAGCTCCTGGCAACCAATAACGTCAATGCCCAGGAGCTGGGCAGGGAGTTGATGCATAGGCATACCCCGCTCGTGCTTATCATGCACTGCTGCTACCCCCCCGCTTCCTCTTCCCCTGCCTCTGGATCATGATATGGTATTATATGTCCTCCAGGTCAGTGGTTCTCAACCTGTGTAAGCTCAGGACCCACATTTGTCCTCGGTCATTAAGTTGAGACCCAAGTCGTATCGCAATGGAACGCACGGCAGTGTGGGCTGCTGTGCTGGAGCTCCATTCATACGTGCATTGCTTGCACAGCTCCCATGTGCGCCCGTAGAGTAGCCGGGAGCCAGAATGTGATGTCACTCCAGTCCAGGCTCCTCTACAGGACACGCAAAGGAGCTACAGTATAAGCAATGTACATATGGATGGAGCTCCCTCGTGGCCATACCCCTAGCCGGCCCCACCTCAAGTCGACACTTGGCGCCGGGCCGGCATATTTTGAATGGCTGCTTGGTGTAAGAATGGACAGTTCTGCGCTCGGGGGAGGGTAGGGGGAGGCTGAGTAGCCTCTCACCTAGAAAAGTGGAAGGCAGAAGGCGACCCACTGAACAAGTAGTCACGACCCACTTTTGGGTCAAGACCCACCAATTCAGAACCAAGGCTCTAGGTCATATGTTGGATCATGATATGTCCTCTGCTGGCCTCTACTTTGTTGTGCTGATTGTACATTTATAAGAGGTTCTGAGAATGATGAGAATTGCGTCACAACTGCTCACAAAAAAGTGCCCAAAATTAAAAAGTTTTCTTATGTTATAAAGACGCTTGTATCCTATCGGTTGCCATCACATAAATAATATATATATCCTCTTATCTCTCCAGTGATCCCGTATCACATCCTCATCGTCCCCAGCAAGAAATTGGGAGGCTCAATGTTCACCGCCAACCCCTGGATCTGTATCTCCGGAGAGCTCGGTGAGACGGGAGTCCTCCAGGTGCCGCGCAGCATCCTAGAGATGACCTATGAGGTAACACGAGCTGTTAGCAATTCTTCAACCTGTTGTGGATATCGACTTAAAGGAGAACTATGGGGGAACCTTTTTTTATCCCATAGTTCTGTTTAGGGTCACAGGAGGACATATACTAACCTCCTCCCCGTGACCCAAAGCTCGGTATATAGCATAGTGTGGATGCGGGTCTGGCAGCGGCGAGTGTGAGGTGGGGAGGAGGTGCGGCGCGCAGCTTGTGTGGAGCTGTGAACAGGGTCTGGCAGCGGCGAGTGTGAGGTGGAGGTGCGGCGCGCAGCTTGTGTGGAGCTGTGAACAGAGCCAACTAATCAGAGGCCGATTAATCGATGATTGAAAAAGTTGACAACTTTTTCAATAATCGATTATGTCGATTAGTTGTTGCAGCCCTAGATTATTGCCTGCTATATACTGAGAGCGCCGCGGTCAGGATGGATCCCGACAATACCGTAGAGATCCACCCAGCTAGCTGATTGACAGCTGGCTCTGCCTATCTAGTGGTAGAGCCAGCTGTGCCCACCCCCTCCCCCGTTTATTCCTCCAGTCAGCGGATTGGAGTGGGGAATCCCTGCGGGGAGCGGTGACTGACAGTCACTGCTCTCTGCAGGGAGATGATCGGGAAGTGAGCGAGCTACAGTATGTGTTCACTCACTTCCAGATCGAGCCGAGTTGTGACAATGAAACTGCTCTGCTCCATAGGTGCTGTACAGGAGGACGGGGTTCTTTAAAGTGACACTAAACTCCGGGGTTAAATCTTAAAAATCCATTCAAGTCCCTGAACTCTGAACAACAATGTATCTTATTTGTGTGTCACTCGGCTGGAGATCCTCCAATGATCTCTGACACTGTCCTTCCTTCTGGATGGGGGCTACGTCTGTTCCCCATGGTCCCTGTGTGTGTTGTAAAGTAGGCACCGCTCCAAGCTCCGCCCCCGGGATGTACTACAGTCCCAATACAAATTTGAAAACTAAACATGAGATTGTAGTCCATCCCGGGGGGCGGAGCTTGGAGCGGTGCCTACTTTACAACACACACAGGGACCATGGGGAACAGGCGTAGCCCCCCTCCAGAAGGAAGGACAGTGTCAGAGATGATTGGAGGATCTACAGCCGAGTGATACACAAATAAGATACATTGTTGTTCAGAGTTCAGGGACTTGAATGGATTTTTAAGATTTTACTCCGGAGTTTGGTGTCACTTTAAAGAACCCCGTCCTCCACATGTCCTCTCTCTAACATTCTCACTTATACTAAAATGTCTGTTTTCACTCAGCTCCTGTACAGTTGGCTTTGTGCTTGGCTTCTGTCTTTTTATTCTGTAGTCACCGTGTAGTCACTGTGTGTATAGAACAGATTTGTATCGCTTGCTTGTGTAACTTCGAGTCATTCCTCTTGCAGTTCCTATCGGGTTTAGGGGGAAACGATTTGCTTTTTAAATGAGGGACCACGATGACAAATGATAACATTTTATATATCTGCTCCGAGCTCTCCGCATTGTTACGTGACCCCCCGCGTCTCTCCTCTCTCGCAGTGCCAGAATCTCGGGAAGTTGACAACCGTGCAGATCGCACACGACAACTCCGGGCTGTACGCCAAGTGGCTGGTGGAATACGTCATGGTCCGCAATGAGATCACAGGACACACGTACAAGTGAGAACCTTCCGCCTGTCATGTTGGACTGACCGCCGCTCCTCTGCGACCTGTGCAGATGGAATTGATTTTTCACACTGCAGACGACTCAGCTTTGAGGGCTTAGAGAGGACCTGTCAGCTCTTTGCTAAGCTGCAGAGTACACTGCGTCCATTGCATTATGTATTCTGGAGCAGCAGCTCCCCTTCCTCTGCCCGGAGGGGTCCTGTAAGGTCACAACCATCAGTTTGCAAAGGAGACTAATGTCAGGGCAAGTCAGCCTTGTGCTGCTTCTGGGGTCTCATAACAATGGATTATGGGATGGGACCAGCCCATCCGTGAGTTACACCTTGGATTTGCTGTGGGATGCTGTTTGCTTTTAGTGAGTTTATGTTCTTGTGGCTCAGTGGGTAAGATGCTCTGTTTTATTGTCTCCACAGGTTCCCCTGCGGCCGCTGGCTGGGGAAAGGGATGGATGATGGCAGTCTAGAGAGAGTTTTGGTTGGGGATCTTCTGACTCCGACTACCGATACAGAAGACAGACCCTGCCGGACGCCCCCTCTGCAGCACTCGCCCGGAATGATCCGGAGACTTGTGGCGATATCGCCCAACAGCCGACCGAGTAAGTAAAACGCTGCGTCCGACTGAGACCCCATAACCCTCTGACAGGCACTAGAAAGAGATTTCACACAGCTGTGTCTATGCACTGCAAGCTTTCATTACGTTGCCTCTGGCAGGTCATATGCCCTTGTGAATCTTCCAGCTTTCAATGTATTGGCTTCCGCTGATCACATGACATCTGCTATCGTTCCCCAGTCATCGTCCAGGGCAGCATGGATTCTCAGAGGCTGCCCTGGACGATTCCTGGAAAATAAGTTACCAGGTACCTAACTTAGGTTTTCACTGCATTGGCTCAGCCTAGTCACATGACTTCATTACTCCACCAGCATTCATTACATTGGCTCTAATTGCTGACATGACATAATCTGTCTAACGGCTACATTGGCTCGGATTGGTCACATGACTTTATCATACTGCAAGCTTTCATTATATTGTCTCTGATCACATGACTTGGTTTGCAATGCAGAATTATTCTCTGTTTTCATTGTAACTTTTTTTGTTTTTCTCAACCAATGAACACTCCGTTATTAACCTCCATGATCTTCCTTCCTCCAACAGAATTAAACACGGGTCAGATCCAGGAGGCCATCGGGGAGGCTGTCAATGGAATTGTAAAACACTTTCACAAACCGGAAAAATTTATCCCGCGGGGATTCCCTTAGACTTGTACATAGAGCTGGACATTGTAGGGAAGCCCTCAGGGGAGGGAAGAGAGCATCAGACTACAGCTATGTTTTTCTATGGAAGAAGGTGGCCAATCGCTGCCCATTGTGCACCACATCCCAGGCCAGTCTCAAAAAACAAACCTCCAAAAACTGATACAAATGTGCTACATTATCTTCCTGGTATTCATATTATTTTGGCTTTTTTATGATTAAATTAGAGAAATATCAGCATATCAAGAAAGATAAAAATTTTAGGGCTGGTAATGATTTAAATTTTCGTGTTCAATCGAAATTTTTTATCGATTTAATTTCGATTAATTATAACGCACATACAGATCCAACTACATTGGCCTATACACATACAGCACAGCAATGACCTATACACATACAGCACAGCAATGAAGTAATACAATGAACTAGGATCACACTAATCCAGCGCGTTATTATTCTGAGTTGCCCAACTCAAGCGGCGGCCATATTGAGTGGGGCACGTTAGATTAATAACGTGCTGGATTAGTGTGATCCTAGTTCATTTTATTACTTCATCGCTGTGCTGTATGTGTATAGGCCAATGTAGTTGGTTAAACTTTGGTAGTAACACTAGGTAGTAACCTCACTGTTCAGAAGTCACCACACAGATTGTGAGTAATATCAGTATCGGAGTTATAAATTAGTAGTAATTACACCGTTCAGTAATCCACAGTATAGGCTATAGGCAATAATCATCAATGGTTATCTCCAGGCATTGAGGGCCTGTTCACACGACGTCCGTTTTCTGTGCTGACCTAGATCCGTACGCTCCTGCACTAAAAATGCATCCCAATGTATCCCTGTGTGTTTTATGGGCTACAGTTCTCACGTGCGCAGTCCGTTCAGGTTATGACAGAAAAATACTGCATGTCACATTTTGTACGGTCAGGAAACGGTCCGGAAACGCATCAAAAACGCGTCAATAACGCACTGCGCTGCAGCTAACATACTGACAGCCCCACTCCAGCAAAAAAAAAAAAATTTGTTTTTTTACTGGAACGCATCAAAAACGCGGCAAAACACATTGCACCGCGTCTGCTGATTTGCACCTGATCAGGACCTGAAACTCATGTGAACAGGCCCTTATAGCATAGTCCAGAATCCACAGTATACCTCATAGGAAATAAGCAGCAGGCTCTATAAGGCTCGGTTCACACCTAGGCGTTTTTCCGCGCTTTCGTACTCGCGGAAAAACGCTCAAACAGGGAAATGCCATTATTTTCAATGTGCATGGTTCCCATCTGGGCGGTTTTCTGCGAGTAAGAACGTGCGGGAAACCGCCCTACGCCCAAAGAAGTACATGTACTTCTTTGGGGCGTTTTGGTCGGGCGGTTCCATTGGGATACAGCCAAGTATCCCTCGGAAATGTGCGTTAAACAAAACGCGCGAAATACGTGCATATTCAATCCGCCTAGGTGTGAACCCAGCCTTAGGAGTCCCCACTAGGTGGTGCTGTTCCCTAAGCAATCCCCACCTCTAGTTATAACGATCAGGATAACGTTTGTAACAGGACTGAGGCCTGGTTCACACCTAGGCGTATTGCATATGCGCGTCTGTTGCGCGTTTTTTTAACGCGATTCGCGGTAAAAAAAAAATCGCAAGACAATCGCGCGTTTCCGAGGGCGGCTTGGCTGTATATCCCAATGGAAACGCGCAACAAAAACGGCCCAAAGTAGTACATGCACCTTTTCAGGCGTGGGCCGTTTTGTAGCGCGTTAGGGATGGGCTGAAATACGCCGAGGTGTGAACCAGACCCATTGAAAACAATCTGGGCGGTTTTCTGCGAGTAAGAACGTGCGGGAAACCGCCCTACGCCCAAAGAAGTACATGTACTTCTTTGGGGCGTTTTGGTCGGGCGGTTCCATTGGGATACAGCCAAGTATCCCTCGGAAATGTGCGTTAAACAAAACGCGCGAAATACGTGCATATTCAATCCGCCTAGGTGTGAACCCAGCCTTAGGAGTCCCCACTAGGTGGTGCTGTTCCCTAAGCAATCCCCACCTCTAGTTATAACGATCAGGATAACGTTTGTAACAGGACTGAGGCCTGGTTCACACCTAGGCGTATTGCATATGCGCGTCTGTTGCGCGTTTTTTTAACGCGATTCGCGGTAAAAAAAAAATCGCAAGACAATCGCGCGTTTCCGAGGGCGGCTTGGCTGTATATCCCAATGGAAACGCGCAACAAAAACGGCCCAAAGTAGTACATGCACCTTTTCAGGCGTGGGCCGTTTTGTAGCGCGTTAGGGACGGGCTGAAATACGCCGAGGTGTGAACCAGACCCATTGAAAACAATGGGATTTTCGTGTTTGAGCGTTTTGTAGAGCGTTCGCCGAGCGTAGAACGCGCTACAAAACGTTCAGGTGTGAACGAGGGCTGAAGGTAGGGTCAGACGACCCAGGCTACTTGCGGTTTCTGGATGTCAGCAGAGTGAGACGGAAACCCACGATGCAGGAGAGGGGTTGAGCTGGAGACCGAGAGCGGCGTCTTCAATGGCGGAGAGATCCGTGACAGCAGGAGAACCAGCACAGCATGCACTGCGCTATAGAAGGACGTCACCGGACTCCTCCCCCCTTCCCTTCGTTAGCCTATGGAGCCACTCAGGGGAAGTGGGGAGGAGTCCGGTGACATCCCGGAAGCGGACGGAGAGGTGAGTATCTATCAAAAAAATTAACGATTAATCGAGGAATTAATCGTTAATTTCTGCAGCCCTAAAAAATTGTGAACTTGGACATTTATAGGAAGTCCCGTGTATCAACAGACAGCCAGGACATTTGACCAAGTAACCTGGCCTTGGGGCGGCAGGGGGAGTAAATCCGGCACTGGCCGTAGCAAGGAAAAAACAAAATGTTACTTTTGCAGACTTGCTTGATTTGCTAATCTGTGTTTAAGGGATATTCATTTTGTATGTTTAATTTGTTAAACAAAGTTCATGTGAAAAACAGGCCATGGCTTTCCTCTCCATGCTCACTGTCATCTCTCCCCTCCAAAGTGCCTACAGATGATGATACAAATGTACAATTCTTGGTTCCTCCCTTATCCCACAATACAATGCCGGGCCCCTGACTGAAGCTGTTGCTATGTGAGAGGTGGGGGTGGGGGGGCTTTTTCAGTCTCTGCATTGTTGTCCACATGGGTACTTCAGGGGGCCTCATGGTGCCCGGGGGGAGGAGAAGCTGGCATGTAGATTCCGCTATGGCTCCATGTTTTGGGGGCTGCAGTTTTGCAGCAGTGCTGGGTTACGATCTGACGTTCTCCATCATCCCGTGGTCTGTACTTTGCCATATTGCCGTTACAGAGGGGAAGTTTGACTTTGCTGCTCTGCGGAGAGGGCGGTCTGGTGTCGGCTCTGGAACAAGTCTTCCAGCACGGATTCAAGTCACCGCGACTCTTCAAAAGCATCTTCATATGGGACTTCCTGGGTGAGGAATGGAAATGGTGGGAGAAGTCCACGTGGTGATGTCCGCTCCTTGCTGGCCTCCTTCTCTCTCACGGCTTATCGAGTCATTCGGAGGAATTCTTCCTTCTTATATCTACAGCTCACCCGATGGAAGATTCTTACTCTGAGAGTTCATGAATCCTCACCAGTTTTCCCCTTTGGACCTCAGAACCCCTCCCCTTACCTCCATAACCCCTCCCCTTACCTCCATAACCCCTCCCCTTACCTCCATAACCCTTCCCCTTACCTCCATAACCCCTCCCCTTTATCTCCATAACCCCTCCCCTTTATCTCCATAACCCCTCCCCTTTCTCTCCATAACCACTCCCTGATCTCCATAACCCCTCCCCTTATCCCCATAACCCCTCCCCTTTATCTCCATAACCCCTCCCCTTTATCTCCATAACCCCTCCCCTTTATCTCCATAACCCCTCCCCGATCTCCATAACCCCTCCCCTTATCCCCATAACCACTCCCCGGTCCCCATAACCACTCCCCGATCTCCATAACCACTCCCCGATCTCCATAACCCCCATGGTCTGTAGTTCATTCTGTAAACTATTTCATGCCCACGTTCATGTTCCCATAGCATCCCGTCCCCCGTTTGGTATTTGTCAATCTATGGGCAATGACGTTCCAGATGTGCGTTGAGCGTCCTGACGAACCTTTTATAAATGGCCCCCATAGACGTGGTTGTATCGGGGCCGCTCTGGGTTTTGCCGCTGGGTGTATAACATTATTGTGTCTTTTCAGAGAAGGCACAAGCACATTACAACGGCCTTGAGTTCAGCGAAGGGGCCCCCGGTGAAGACTGGCAGAAAAGGGCCCGTATCTTCAGCCGCATCATCAACGCCATCAACAGCACTCCTCGCAACATCGGCAAAGACGGCAAGTTCCAGATGTTGGTGTGCCTGGGAGCCCGGTGAGTGCCGACCCGCAATATGCAGATTATTCCCACTAATAATGAACCTTACATCAGGGTAATGGCGGGGCCCCGCTATCAGCAGGG